CTTCCTTCCTTCCTTCCTTCCTTCCTTCCTTCCTTCCTTCCTTCCTTTCTTTCTTTCTTTCTTTCTTTTCTTTTCTTTTCTTTTCTTTTCTTTCTTATCACTATATGCCCTACTCGGAAATCAGCCTTGAAACGTGCAGAATCATAAACACCACTCACTACAAGTTTAGTGAAGAAAGAGCTTAGCAGCCCAGTATACTAATTTTTTTCATTTACTATCTTAGTTGTGTCTTCAGAACTATTGAGAATAACTCATATTAATCGTGTTTGTACTTAAATATACATTGACTTAACATATTAATTTTAACATCAAATAGCTTGTTCTGTATTATGTTTCAACTAAGAATTTAAGAAGCAGAACATTAGGATTGACTTGAAAGTACAGAAATTTTCTCTTTACAAATAAAATGTAGTTTTTTATTTAAATAAATGCTTCCCCCATCCTCAAACCCACCTTACATTTCTAATGAAAACTCTGTCATACACTTTTTTTTTTTTTTTTTAGATTCCCACTAAAAATATTGAAGGCCAGGTGACACCCTACTATCCTGTGGGAATGGAAAATGGTACACCTTGTAGTCTGAAACAGAATCGACCCAGGTCAAGCACTGTGATGTACATATGCCATCCTGAATCTAAGCATGAAATACTTTCAGTAGCTGAAGTTACAACCTGTGAATATGAAGTTGTCATTTTGACACCACTCTTGTGCAGTCATCCGAAATACAGGTAAGATGTTCATTCAGTATTGTAGATACACAGTGCACATGTGCTTTAAAGCATTCCTGTTTAGCCTTGGTACTGTTTTTCTGCTGAATAGGTTCAGAGCCTCTCCTGTGAATGACATATTCTGCCAGTCTTTGCCAGGATCTCCATTTAAACCCCTCACCCTAAGACAGTTGGAGCAGCAGGAAGAGATACTGAGGGTGCCATTTAGGAGAAATAAAGAGGTATGAGAGTTAACTAATCATACTTTCTCATTGCTTGCTTTTTCATGTTTCAGAACCTGTACCAATGTGTTAATTAATTTCTCTAGCATAATAGTGGCAATTATTTTTTCAACTTCAAAATTTTAATTATAATTATTTGAATAATTTAAACGTTTTATACTTTTCAGAATTTTTATCATTTTTTAAATTTATTTATTTACTTTCTTACTTGCTTAATATCCCTACAACAGTTTTCCCTGCCTTTTTTCCTCCCAGTCCTTCCCACCCACCCCTCATCTACTCTTCCTTTTCCCTCTCTCTTCAGAAAAGGGGAGGCCTCCCATGGATATCAACCAATCTTGGCATGTCAAGTTGCAGTATGATTAGGTTCATCTTCTATTGAGATTACATGAGGCAGCCCAGTAGGCGTAAAGGGTCTCAAAGGCAGGCAACAGAGTCAAAGACAGTCCCTGCTCCCACTGTTAGGAGTCCCACATGAAGGCCAAAATGCACAACTGGTACATATGTGCAGAGGGCCTAGGTCAGTCCCATGGATGCTCCTTGGTTGGTAGTGCAGCATCTGTGGGCCTTACGCGCCCAGGTTGGTTAATTTTGTAGAAGTCATTATGGTATCCTTGACCCCTCTGGCTCCTACAATCCTTTCACCTCTTCCATAGGATTCCCCAAGTTCCGCTGTTGTTGAATATTAATATTTACCATTGATATATCTTTTAGTTAAGCAGCGGTTATTCCTAAACAAGCTGTATACCCAAATCACCACACAGAGACTGGGATTTATTTAATTAACCTAGAGCACAATGCTGGGCAATAGTTATTCCATCCTAAACCTCCAAGCCTACATAGTTTCCTAACATTCAGATTTCCCGCACTATACTTGCTTTTAGTCGTATCTTAGGTCTGGTTCATCTCTCCATGTGGTTCCAAGACCTCTCTTGTGGATTCTCAGCTCCTCCTTCCTCTTCCTCTCTCTCCCCTCCCGACCAGGATGTTCCACCCTATACTCTCCATTGCACAGCATTGGGGCTGGTTGTTTAATTGACAATATAGAGAACAAATGGCGTGTTTACACAAACTTGAGACAGGTGATGCCTAGAATAAGAATCACAATGCAGTGTCTGTATTGAAACCAGATAGTGGGGGAGAGAAATCAGCATTGGAATGAACAAGGGTACCTTCCACAAGAATATTATACCAACACTTCACCTAATGTTTGGTTGTGGTTCTTTGATCTGTTTCATCAGTTGCTGGGTGAAGCTTCTCCGATGACGGTCTGCAAGTATAGTTGAGTAGTAGTAACAGTATCAGGGATGGGCTCCCTCTCGTGGCATGAGTCTTAAGCTAGACTAGTCATTAATTGGCCATTCCCTCAATTTATACTCCATCTTTACCCTTGCACATCTTGTAGTCAAGACAGATTGTAGGTCGAAGGTTTGGGGCTGAGTTGTTGTCCCAGTCTCTCTATTGGAAGTCTTGCCTGGTTCCAGGAAATGGCTGGTTCAGGCTCCATATCCCCTTGCTAGGAGACTTAGGTTGGTCACCCCCATAGATTCCTTGGAGTTTCCACTACCCTATGTTTCTAGCTCATCCCAGAGATCTCACACACACACTTCTGATTTCAGTTGTCTCTCCCAGTACTCTTTTCCTTCATCCTTTTCACACCTCATCCTTCCTGTCCGCATCCCCACCCTGGTCCAATCCATTCATAACCCCTCCCCCGCCTGCCCACCCACAATGTCTTTTCTATTTTCCCTTCTCAGTGAGATTCGTGTGTGCCCCTGAGCCTTTGTTACTTAGCTTCTTTGGGTCTGTGGACTATAGCATAGTTACCTTTTATTTTATGGCTAATATACATTTATAAGTAAATAAACACCATGTTTGTCTCTGGGTATGGGTTAGCTCACTCAGGATGATCTTTTCTAGTTCCATTTCATTTGCCTGCAGATTTCATGATGTCATTACTACAGCTGAGTAATAATCATTGTGTAAGTGTAACACAATTTCTTTATCCATTCTTCGGTTGAGGGGCATTAGGTTGTTTACAGTTTCTGGCTATTACAAATATAGCTGCTATGAACATAGTTGTGCAAATGTCCTTGTGGTATGTTGGAGTATCCTTTATGTGTATGCCCAAGAGTGGTATAGCTGGGTCTTGAGGTAGATCCATTCCCAATAATTAAGGGGATATAAATTAGAAAGGAAGAGCTCAAAGTATCATGATTTGCAGATGATAAGATAGTATACATAAGTGACCCCAAAAATTCTACCAAGGAACTTCTACAGCTTATAAACACTTTCAGCATAGTAGCTGGATACCAAATTAACTAAAAAAAAAAAAAAAAAATCAGTAGTCCTCCATTACACAAGAGACAAATGGGCTGAGAAAGAATTTAGGGAAACAACGCCCTTCACAGTAGCAACAAATAATAAAAAAAATCTTGGTGTAACTCTAACAAAGCAAGTAAAAGACCTATATGACAAGAGCTTTAAGTCTTTGAAGAAAGAAATTGAAGAAGATAGCAGAAGATGGAAAGATCTCCATGCATCAGTAGGATTAAGTAGTAAAAATGGCTATACTACCAAAAGTATTCTACAGATTCAGTGCAATTCCCATCAGAAGTCCAACACAGTTCTTTACAAACCTTAAAAGAACAATATTCAACTTCTTATGGAAAAGCAAAGAACCTCAGACATCTAAAACAGTTCTGTACAATAAAAGAACTTCTGGAGGCATCATCAACCCTGATTTCAAGCTGTACTACAGAGCAGTAGTAATAAAAACCACATGGTATTGGCATAAAAGCAGACAAGTTGAGTGATAGAATTGAGTCAGAGACCCAAAAGTAAATTCATACACCTTTGGGCACTTGATTTTCAACAAAGAAACCAAAATTGTACAATGGAAAAAAGAAAGTATCTTCAACAAATGGTGCTGGTCTAATTGGATGTCTGCATGCAGAAGAATGCAGATAGATCTGTGTCTACTACCCTGTACAAAACTCAAGTCCAAATGGATCAAAGACCCCAACATAAAACCAGACACACTAAATTTGATAGAAAGTGGGGAAGAGCCTTGAACAGATTGACCATAGGGTGTTTCTGATAGAACACCAACAGCTGAGGTATTAAGATCAACAATTAATAAATAGGACCTCATGAAGCTGAAAAGTTTCTGTAAGGCAAAGGATGTCATTAAACAGACAAAATGGGAGCCTACAGAATGGGACAAGAACTTCACCAACCCCATATACAACAGACGGTTGAGATCTAAAATATATAAAGAACTCAACAAACCAAATAACCCAATTAAAAATTGGGTACAGACCTAAACACAGAATCCTCAACAGCAGAATCTCTAATAACTGAAAAGCACTTAAAGAAATGTTCAACATATTAGCCGTCAGGAAAATGCAAATCAGAACAACTCTTAAGATTCTATCTTAAAACACCCACTAGAATGACTAAGATCTAAAACTCAGTCGACAGCTCATGCTGGCAAGGATGAAAGTGGATGGAGCAAGGGGAGCACTCCTCCATTGCTGGTAGGAGTGCAAATTTGTATAGAATTTTTAACATTCTCTGACAGTCACAATTACACAATTTATGTTAATTTTATTTTATTTTTGTGCATAATATGTATATGAACCATGTGTGTGTGGTACTTATGGAGGCCAAAATGAAGCATCACCCTGGAAACTGGAATTCCAAACACTTGGAAGCTACCGTGTTCTGAAAACAAGACCCAGATCCTCTGAAAGAGTAGCAATTAATCTTCATTATGGATCTCTCTCTCCGGTCCCACACATAATATCCTCTTAATTTTTTAAATAATTGTTCCAACTGAGCTTTTTCTTTCTTTTTTTTTAAGGCAACAGCCCTAGCTCCATCTCTCTGCATTCTGTTTGTTGCTCTCCATTAACCGTCTCTGTGAACTTCCTTCT